TGTTGCTCTGCGGCACTCTTCAAAATACTTCCTGCTTCTCCCACTAAATCTGTGAAGCTATTTTGGCTTTGAATTTTACTATAATCCCAGGCATTGTAATGAATTACAAGATTTTCAAGTTGTGACCATCTCACAAGTTTATTGTTGTCTACAATCCATTTAAGGTCTTTGTCTTTAACTTTTTTATTTTGAACAAAGACTTGTATAGTCATATCAAGTAACATCTTTATGCTGACACCTATGGATGGTGCAGAGTCTGACTGTATGGTAATGACATACAAAACAATACATGCTAAAGCTCCATCTACAGAAGTGTATTTCCAATTTTTTTCAAAGTGTCCTTTCAGTTTGTTTCCCATCTGTGACTCCAGATCTTGGAAATCTGTACATACTCTCTTAAAAGAGAATTCGAAGGGAATCTGAAGCAACTTACATATCCACTAGAAAGGTCATAATTTGAACGACACTCGGGTACAGAACATTTCGCAGGCATATTTCCTCGAAAACCAACACACTGACGATAAATCCAACGTAAATTGCAGAAATTGCTTACTAAATCTACCCCCTGAAATACCGCTTATAGGTGAATCTGACGTGAAAATTGAACCACATTAAAAACTTTCACAAGAAAAATAAAACCGAACACACACTGATACATCCATTTTGTTTGCCTCAGGAAGTGACGTCACCACTGGAGATTCATGGCCTGTCTAAAGTTTGGCCATGCTTGACTCAACTCAACTTAATTGGCCAAAGCTCAGACTCAGACGGATGTACAATTAGACCACTGGTACCATCTGAATGTGACCTCTTCGCTTGCTGCTGAAGAAGGGAACGGAGCGCTTATGGGAGTGTCCTGAGTGCTATGATGTCGACTGGTAATTCAAAAAAATATAACGTTTTTTTTTTTTTAAATTCTCAGGACACTAAAAATCTGTATCGTCCTTTTGGTTACTAGCTATTTACAACCCACTCACAGTAGACTACGAGCTACGTCGTAAGAGTTGTGTGGGCTCCCATGAAAGTCTGTGTCTAAGTCATGTGAACGACCTTCGTAATGCCGGGGTGCCGAGTCTGACCCCAACCGTTTTGTCTTGCGTTGGTTCCGACGGTGGCGCCCAGAGCTGACCGTTTAGGGGCAATGGCAAACTACTGAACGTAAAATGGGCCAATAAAAACCACAACAGCATATAAATGATAATGTTGGTTCTGCAACGCCCTGTAAGGTATACGGACCAATTTAAAAAAAATGTTTGATTTTCACCCTTGGAATGGGTTGTTAATCCTACATATTGTAACCCCGGATGGGAGAACGTAAAAGAACAAAATGGTGTTGCTAACTGATAATTTGATCAGCACCGCGATTCAAAAAGAAGCACTCTAACACAAAAAACTTGTTCATTCACCAAAGAATTTTTTATTAATACTGCTATGATAGCTACGTTAGGGGTAAAACTTGCAGTCCTATGTAGGTAAAGAATACATTTGGCGAATACAGTGGAACCTCGCTTAATGAGCATAATTCGTTCCAGAATCATACTCGTTAAGCGAAACACTCATGCGAAAAAAATTTTTTTTTCACATAAATTAATGTAAAATACAACGATGCGTTCCATGTCGAAAAAAAATACTAAATGCATTGTATAACGTTTATTCAAAGAAAATTATATACATATTGTTAAGAAGAGTGAATCATCTTCATCTTTTCTTCAAACGCGGAACGAACCCACATGGAATGCCAATTCGATTTGCAGAAAAAAAAGTCGAAATAATTATGATAAATAAATAATTTTTTTTCAACTAGAAAGATGTCCAGAGATATTTGTTTTTGCCGACGCTTCACAATTTGGCGAAAATGCGACACAGCATTATCATTATATAAATTTGCAGCGCGCACAGCCACTTCCTTATTAGGGTGATGCTTCTCAATGTAAGATGCAACAGTTTCACCTGCTTTCAGCATTTCTCTTATTTCGCCAGAAGATTGTTGTTTTTCTGTTACCTCCACCTCCTCTTCTAGCAAACATTCCTCCAAAACTTCTTGCTGTGAAACACAATGCAACGCCATTAGCTCTTCGGTGGTCAGCTCTTGGCTGTGCTCTTCCACAAGCTCTTCGATATCACTGTTATCCACCTACAATCCCATGATAGTGGCCAAAGACACAATCTCGTTGACTACAGATTCCACAGGTACTGTCTCGAACCCCTCAAAGTCAAAAATCAACAAAGCTCTCCGGCCAAAGCTTCTTCCAAGCAGAAGTTAGGGTTCTCTTGGTAACCCCTTCCCCCGACTTGTCGATCATCTTGAGGCAGGCAACGATGTGGAAGTGATTTTTCCAAAATTGTCTGAGAGTGAGGTTGGTCCTTTCAGTCAGCTGAAAACAATGTTCGAAGAGTGCTTTAGTGTAGAGCTTCCTAAAGTTATAAATAACTTGCTGGTCCCCGGGCTGGAGTAACGGAGTGGTGTTGGGAGGCAGAAACTGGATCTTGATTAACTAAAATTCTTCAGGGAGGTCATCTTGTATGCCTGGAGGATTCATGTACATACATCACACACAGCACAAGTTTGAGAAAATGTGTGATCACAAGCTACGCTATGATGCTACTGGAACGAGTGCTAAACACAGACTGATGTAACATGCGCACAATCCGGGACTTCCCCTCTCCTCGCCACTCCTTATGGGAAACATCGCTTGTTAAGCAAATCATTCTTTTACAATTTGTTTTGCTCTTTATGCGAATTACTCGTTAAGCGAGGTTCTACTGTACTATAAAAACATTTTGAAGACTTAACAAATCAATTATTTTTTTGGGGGTATATTATAAAAAAACAACAACAACCCAGCTATACGAATGGAAAATCATTTTCAAGTGCTTCTTTTAAGTATGTGTGTGTGTTTGGGTTGGAAAAGGGAGGGGGGGGGGGGGATTGCAGATCAAATCAACTGTCCTCTAAACAAGCATGTCATAAAAGTCGACTAGTTAGGGGTGTTTACTTCGAAGTCGGAATGCGTCTACTTGAGAGACGAGGAATCAAGGGTCTGCATACAAAAATCCAGTTCTGCGAAACAGGTGTGTACGTAAAACGCATGTTCTGGAGCCAAATAAAGTTCAGAAGTGAACGAACAATCAAAACTTTCCGTCGGCTTTTACAGCCGATGAACACGACGTAGAAGAAGAAGAATTGGGAAAAAAAATGAAGAAGAGGAAGAAGAATAAGAAAAATGAGGAGGAGTAAGAGAAGCATAAGCAGAAAAAAAAAACAATATGGAAAAACATACATAGCGCAAAGCGGGTTATTAGACAAGAGATGCATACTGTCCCTTGATTTGTGTTAATTATACAGCGAGTATAGAAAGAGATCTATAGTCGATATGCATGTTATTGTGGTAATTGGTCAAAATATAAATAACATACGCAGGGCACTTCACCAACCCCCAGCCCCCTCCCCGAAAATTTCGAAAGGTAGTGGCTCGGAGAGGATTGGAAGTTACCCTTTTTGAAATGCGCAATAATAATGATAATAATAATAATAATAAAATATTATTTTGTGCTGAATGGCAAATAAATGTAGTACGTACTTACCATTCTTTACATCCTTTACACAAATATTAATAGGTTACAAGACAATGGCATGGTTAATGTTTATATTTTATTATTATTGCACACTGGAACTTAGCGCCCCCGATCCCTAATATTTACCCTCTGGCGGCGCGCCTGCCTCTAGTCTCATGCTTTACACCGAAATTGAATCCTTTAGAATATAAAGGGCGCTGTCTTATAGGAGACACTAGGGACAGAGGCAGGTAAGGTCTCAGCTCCCTTACACATGTTCCGTGGAGGGGCTGAAGGGACCTAAGCCTTGCCCAAGTGCATAATAATAATGCAGTAATAATATGCTGAATGGTTAATGATATAAATAGTGCCAAATAATAGGGCACGTATAGACACAGTCGGCTCTGTGGCTTAGTCGATGCGAACGCGTCGTAATGCCGGGATGCCGGGTTCGATCCCAGCTGCGGGCCATGCGCCTTGCGTTGGTTTCGGCAGTGGTATCAAGAAAGCCGACCGTCCATAGGCAATGGCAAACCACTGGAGGTAAATTTACCTAGAAAAACCATACAACAGCCAGGGACTGTTGTGGTTGGTTCTGCAACGTTCTGTAAAGGATACGCAACTAACCTGGTATAGACACAAGCACAACAAGAAAACTTATGTACATGTTAATTTGAGGGGGGGGGGGGGGGGGCAGCCCCGCTTACACATTGTGGAATGGTCAACAGTGAACACTATACAAAGTGCATATCTTACATTGTGTATATTATATTCTCCCACATACCTGACCAACTGCCTGTCGTCTCAATACGGGACGCAATTTTTCGTTATTTCAAAACCTCACCCCTGCTGTGGTCGGGGGCCCTAATATAACCTAACGGTTAAATGAGATTTCTCGGACCTCTCCCCAGGTGATCCCTATCCGCATGGTGGCACTTTGTGTCACCGGGTGTTTGTCGCTTGGTAGATATCCTAGTGGGGTTGAATCTCTACCATTCTCCCACATACATGCACTTAAAAACCTGCACAGAAACCTGCATTACAGACGAAATAAGATAAACCATCCTTCATGCCAAATTTATATGGGTGAACCAGTAACGCCAAGAGATACATCCCCGGGCCTGATGGCACCGGTGGGTGTGAGGTTGGGGCAGAGCCTGGCCGAGGGCCGGAGATGGGCGGGCGGCATGGGGTCCACGGAAGATCCCCTTCTGAGCCTCTCGCACGGCGCATGCCCAAGCGCCTCTCTGCATCTCCTCGGCTTTCTCCAATTTGTATTACAACTTCCGTGAACATATTTTTACTGTGCTTGTCTCATTTCACATGGATTAAATTGGCTTCTTGACTCTTCTAAATGCCTCTTCGTAAGGGAGGATTCGGTTGATTCATTCCCCGGACTTCTGCACAGACCAGTTTTTGTTGTGTTCGTGCAGGAGGGAGCAAACATGGTCTTCTTTAACGGTTCGGTGAAAATTAAGATCTGCGAGGCGGTGGATTTGAGGCCCACCGACTTCTCTTTACGTATGCAGTTGGGCTCTGGGAAAGATAAGGCCTCGCAGATGATAGAGCCGTATGTGAATATAGATGTAGACGAAGTTTATGTAGCGAAAACAACAACCAAAGCTAAAAGCACCAAGCCGCAGTGGGTCTGGAACGAGGATTTCACTTCAGAAGTTCACAACGGCCAGAACGTAAATTTGACCGTGTTTCACGACGCCGCAATTCCTCCTGACGAATTTGTAGCCAATTGTACAATTCCATTTGATGATGTTAAAGAAAAATCAGACTTTTGGGTAAGTTGTTCACCCGTTATTAAATTGAATAACCCCCCCAGAGCTTCTATAAATCGTTTCTAATGCTCGCTTGTTCGCGGTAGCCATTTTCCCTAGCTCGGTAAACGAAACACTTCATCCGGACATTTTCCGATTACTTGGACAAATTATCATTTTCATTTATGATATTTCTGTCTCGTCACTCATTTGATTTGTTTTCTTTGTCAAGATAGCAGCAAGCTACTAATTGTTTACGTGTCTGTTCTGTAGGTGGATTTGGAACCAAATGGAAAACTGCATATTGTTATCGAGTTGTGCGGCTCGCAGACGGAAGGTAAGAATATTTTTGTGCAAATTAACATTGTTTTAGCCCAGCCCTGCCTCTGCCAGTCTCGCTGCTTTTGGGGGGATTTTCTTATTAAACTGATTCTTTTCTGAAGCTTGCATTTCGTTTTTTGTTAGTTTATTTAAGCACTATACGAATTATTGTGGCTGTGATAGTTACAGCTAGACAACTAAATGGCAGCAGACCATGTAAAGCAGATGTCACCATTCCATTCTGTCAGTGCTGTTTATGATAATGAGGAGAGAAAAGCAATGGGCCGCTAAGTTTTGTTAAATAATGCTCATTTAATTATCTGGCCTACGAATTTAACACTTTGTAAAAAAAAAATATTGGAGAAACTGCAAAGTGCTTTGTATTTTTATAACTGTCATGATATATCAGGCCAAATTTATGTCAAAACAAATGATTATTTGGCATTTGGGATCAACAGCTGATCATAATTGATTTTATAAAGAGTGAGAGAAGAAACTACAACACAGTCTGCCCCCCCCCCCCTCCCTAAGATACCAGAGAGTGTTAGATATTATGTCTGATCTACACACAGTCTGTTTCCTAAAGTAGCTTGTGTCTTTTGCCTAATCAACCCCCTCAGTCTGTTACTTAGATTACAGTGTTAGGTGTTGTGTCTGATCTACCACATTCACATTTTGTATCTTAGATTAGTGTTAGGTGTTATGTCTAATCTACCACACAGTCTGTTGTTTAGTTTACAGACAGAATTATGTGTTATGTCTGATCTACTGCACAGGTCTGTCTTTTAGTTTACAGACAAAATTAGGTGTTATGTCTGATCTACCGCACCGTCTGTCCTTTAGTTTACAGACAGTATTAGGTGTTATGTCTGATCTGCCACACACAGTCTGTCCCTTATATTACAGACATAGTTAGGTGTTATGTCGGATTCACCTCACTCACTGTCCCTTAGATTACAGACAATGTTAGGTGTTATGTCTGATCTACTGCACAGTCTGTCATTTAGTTTACAGACAAGGTTAGGTGTTTTGTCTGATCTACCAAACACACAGAGTCTGTCCCTTAGATTACAGACAAGGTTAGGTGTTATGTCTGATCTACCAAACACACAGTCTGTCCCTTAGATTACAGACAATATTAGGTGTTATGTCTGATCTTAAACACATACAGTCTGTCCCTTAGATAAGACAATTTTAGATGTTATGCCTGATTAACCACACAGTCTGTCCCTTAGATTACAGTGTTAGGTGTTATGTCTGATCTACCACACACACAGTTTGTCCCTTAGATTACAGACAATATTAGATGTTATGCCTGATCTACCACACACTTTGTCCCTTTGATTACAGACAATAAAAGGTGTTATGCCTGACTCACCAAACAGTCTGTCCTTTTAGATTACAGTGTTAGGTGTTATGTCTTATCTACCTCAGGACTTCCAATTTTGAAAATGGCGGTGCCAAGATGGTATTGCGACAACACATGATATTATTATTAAAATTTACACTTTATCTGCTTTTTTCTCGATAACTAAGTGCCTTAATTACAGATTCATATGTGATGGATATTTTGTTATTCGTGGAAACTAAATATTCTGTGGTTTAGGGGGGATATGATGAAATTTATCCTTTCAGACAGCTACAGTGGCTGTTGTGTCATAATAATAATAATTTAGCCGTACGAACCACGCTCCCATTATAAATATGGGAGTCCACGAGTAGGTTTTAGTAATGTTTTCCGCCCCAGACACACCGTGATTTTTGTTAATTCATGCTTTGTGACCTTTCACACACGCTAGTCTAAGTTAAGGGATGTGACGTTGAGTTGTGTTTCGACCTTCTGAGCCATGCATATTGCGCATAATGTACTAGTTGGTGTGAGCGACTGGCGAGATTGCGTATATTATGGCTTTGCCGGACTCCAGGTAGGATCAGAATTTACTTCAGCTGTAAGTGTTGAGGAGTGACAAGGAGAGCAGCATTGCTTTTCTGCAGCACAATGGCTTTTTAGGACTCGACGCAAAATGTTGGCAATTCTGAAACCACGACACATAGTTTGTACTATCTCGTGGGACATAGGCTGAGGTTGTTGGGTTGGGGTTAGGCCATTTCTTGATGTTGCGTTGTCATTAAAAGCGGTCACATCGTGTAATATAGAACACTGGATATTGCTGGTGATAGCGTCCAAGAAAACACAATGTGACTCCCCTGTAACTTAGACTAGCGCATGTGAAAGGTAACAAAACATGATTGAATGGCCAATCACAGTGTGTTTGGGCCAAAAAATGTTTTGAAGAGCCCACGAGTAAGACCAAAATCTACCTGAGCAAAATACAGTGATGAAGTCAGAGGCAACCGGCCTGCAGGCACACCACAGCAATCAGGATGCCACGCACAAATGTGATAGGGAGTATATCTTTAAACAAGTATGCTTCTCACCATGTGACCTGACCAACGTCCACATGTGATGTCTTACTGACCTACGTCTAGTAGAAAAGGTGCAGCTACAAATACTGGAAGTCACCCTCAGATGCCTCATAGAACCAGAAGGACAGAAAATAGAGCTGGTCTAAAAATTATGCACTGGAACACAGAAGGAGTAAATACGAAGAAATAAGAACCAGAAAACACCTTGAGCGAAGAGAAGATACGCATATGCTGCCTTTAAGAGACCTACCTCAAACAGGACGTAGCCTTTAGGATCAGATGCTATCAATGTTATGCATCTGAGCCAAAAAAAAAAAAAAAAAAACAGGAGAAAAGGTGGAATACTAACTTTGGTTACACCAGACCTGACCTTTCACTCACCAGACATGGCATACCACCTCTACACCAGACCTAGCCTTTCATTCACCAGACATGGCATACCACCTCTACACCAGACCTGACCTTTCACTCACCAGACATGGAATACCACCTCTACACCAGACCTGCCCTTTCAGTCACCAGACATGGCATACCACCTCTACACCAGACCTGACCTTTCAGTCACCAGACATGGCATGCCACCTCTACACCAGACCTAGCCTTTCATTCACCAGACATGGCATACCACCTCTACACCAGACTTGACCTTTCACTCACCAGACATGGAACTGAACATTACTTAAACTGTTGGGAAACAACTAGGAGGCAGCAACCACCAGCCAGTCCTTCTAACTGTTGAAAACCAGTCTGTAAGAGAGAGCAGCACTCTGCCAAGATGGAATTATAAGAAGGCAGACTTGAAATTGTATCAGCACTGCACACATGTTTTGGTTAAAAATCTGAACACCGATAATGAAGCAGAAAATGTAGTCGAGAATTTAGCAAATGTTTACTGCAGGCAGCCCTAGAAGCAGTACCAAGAGGTGCGCGTAACAAGTATAAACCAAATTGCAAATGTAATCTAGAGCAACTGCACAATGATATGGAAACAGAAAGAAAGCAAGCTGAGACCAGACGTTTTCAAGATCAGTTCAATAAATACCAACATGCAAAGGCCAAATTTCAAAGAGCCAGCCTGCAGACTAGATGCACTAGCAAGCAGAAAAAAGTCTCTCAACTACGAAAATATCACAAGGAAGTTGTAGAGTCAAGTAAAACAAATGAATGATGAGACTACAGGGAGAAGTGCAAATATTGCACTGTGCAAAGAAGGAGCAATCCTAGCAAGAAAACTGGCAGCTGACCACTTTGCAGATTCATTTGCTAAAGACAGCAACATTGATGTCAATCCAGAGAAACAGTGAGAGGCTCAAGAGAGTCGGCAGGATACGAGACAAACAATATAACTCCTTAGTCGAGCTAAAGTTAGCAATATCAAAGCTGAAAATAGGAAAGTCAACTGGAATTGATGGAATAACCAACGAAATGATTAAGAACCTTGTAACAGCCAAAACAAAGCTGCTACAGATCTTTAATTATTGTTGGACCTGTGGCAAAGATCCCCAGATATGAAAAGAAGCAATCACGATACGTCTGCTTGAACCAGGAATGGACATTTCAGATGCCTCCAGCTATCGATCAGTCATCTTTACCAGCTGTCTCTGTAAAACAGTGGAACACATTGTCAACCTTAGACTCCAGTGGTGCATGGAAAGTGAAAACATCTTCACGCCGTAGCAGACAGGCTTTAGACAGTGCTAATGCACAGAAGATCAGACAACTTACCTTTCTCAAGAAACTAATTATGCCTTCCAGGAAAAGAAACTGGTGCTTGGGGCATGGATAGATTTGAAGAAAACCTTTGACAGGGTCTGTAAAGAAGGTCTACCAAAGAAACAGAGACTGCAGGGTGAAAAGGAATATGTACAGGTGAATTGTACTTGTGTAGCAGACATATGAGCAAGAGCAAGACAGTTTTGCTGTGCCATGGTGTTCCCCAAGGTGGTGTCCTGTCCCCCACACTGTTTCTAGTGTATATCAGTGACCTAGTTTCTGAATTTCAGAGCAGGCACTACCTAAAAGAATTTTCTGCAGTGAACAATAAAAAGGTAAAGGCTCCTAAAGTGGCTTGATGAAACATGAAGGCAATCTGAAAATCTCATTAAAGACTTTTGGCCTTGATTCGGACACATTGGAAGTCGCTGCCCATGACCGGTTACACGGACACTCATTTCGCTGGGTATCAGTGGCTTGTGTAAGGGTGAGGTAGCAGTCTCAAGTATGATCCACACAGTTGCCTCTTGTGACATGCATGGTAGGTTACAGTATTATTTTTGAGTTCCTTTATGGGTCTTAGTAACGGATGGCTGTTGTCATATGCTATTGAAATATAACATTATGAAACTATGGTGACATCTACTGCCTTGCTCTCACAGCATTTAAACTCTGAATGAAGGAATTTCCCCCCTGATTGTTCACGGCCGAGAAATAGAAAACATTACAGAAGGTCAACAACATAAATTACCAAATAATGCCACTTTTGAGGCAGCGAAATAATCAACATGCCCAACAAAAACAATACAAAAAACATCAGCTAAATGCATTATTCATATGAACTTTGTGCTATAAATGCCAGACATAGGCAGTCCT